GGGAAACTAAGCATGCAAATGCTGACTTTTTGTCGAGGCTTCGAGTGTGACCCTTGTTCATGTACTTGTTACAGTGTCACTCTATTCCTAAGTGAGTGTCCGTGTGGAGGTAGTGAAAGAAAGTGTGAAAAGCATGAACAGTGGTCGGAAACTTGCAGATTTTGATGATGTGGTTCCACTGGTGTCTAGAGAAAGTCAAGGCGAGTCAGAGGAAAAAGTGTTCCTGCCGACTGTAATAAGGACTGTTCTGTATCAGTGCTGAATTTTCTGTTTGTTTTTGCGTTGTATCTGGAGCGAGTTTCTCAGGCAAATTTGAACAGAAATTTTCGTGAGTTGTGAGAAATTTGTTTTCTGTGAGAAGACTTAGGGCAACGGAGGAGAAACGTCGTGCGCCTAAGTCTGGTGCTGCGCAATAACATTGATTAAGTGATGCCACAAAAGAGAAGGATATGGCACAGACATCACATGCAGGGGGTCTGTACCCAAAATGAGTGACATGTTCCTCTGAAAAAGTGTATAAAAGTTCTCAAATTGGGTAGGTTTCGTAATACCACAACTGAACTTATCAAATGATGGACATATCCACATCCAACAAAGCGGCAGAAAGTGAATCACACTAAATCATGTAGCGAAAATATCAGTTGAAAAACGTTTGGAAAACATTGAAAAGAAATTGACAAATTAACACAAGAAGTAAATAAAACACAATTAATATTACAGGAAGAAATAAAAGCAATAGTGCAGCTAGCATTGCAAGACTATCAAGAACTTTAAACTATGCGCACATACAAAAAGAAATTAAACATATTCAAACAGTAAAAAAAACAAAGCAATGAGTGACTTTTCTAAAAATGTCTCACTGAATCTTAACAAAAGTGTGTTGGAAAGATTGTGAATTAAATTGAAGAGACAGGGAAAACTGTTAATGGGATTTTATCTAATTGAACAGTTAGAATACTTTTATGTTTTATATTTCATAAAAATCCATAATGCTTATTGTTGTGTTAGTTTTTTGTTTAGTTTGCTTATTTTATTGTCTGCATAATATCATATAACACTTTAGTAGTTTTCCACATGGTATTTGTTGTAGTACACTTAGGTGATTTTTCAACATAGTATTGTTTAGTACCGAATATTATTGCTTCTTATTACTATATTCAATTTCACTTTAACAAGAGGTTTTCAAGGTTCTGTGGCTTCAATTAGAAGAACTTAAAACAGCGTGAAAGAGTTATTTGGGTTTTTTGCTTGCAAGGAAGTAAGCAAAGTCCCAAGGTAGGGAAGAGCTTGTTAATGAAACTTTGAGATAACTGAAGTCTCTTATTACTAGTAGAGGATGATTTGGGGCTCTTGATTTAGGGAATGGTAGTAGGGGGGATGGGGGTCTAGGGGGCTCTGGCAAGTCGCGGGATGCGGTGGTATCGTAGGGCGTGGAGTGAAGAACTAGTGTTGTAGATGTGTTAAATGTGTTACGGGCAGATCGAGAGGTGGGGCGCTAGTGGATTTTTGGGTTGATGGTATAAAACCTCAAATTTGAGAGTCATCATATTAACAGGTGCCAGGGGGAATACGGTGTGGCGAAGATGGGGCTCAGTTATTTTTGTGAGGAAGTGGTATGGAGAGACGCGCCATGTGGCCGAGCGCGTCATGGTGCCAGAATATTTTTGGGAAAGGGTCGGGCAGGCGGAGCATGTCCTCACTTATGGCTCCCGGACGATGAGGCGCCCGCGAAGCGGCAAGTAGTTTGTAAGGTACGCGGGAAGAGTAGGGAAAGGATCGACGATGTGCGGCACGGGTATACAATGAGCATGCTTCCCGGCCGAGGAGCAATGCTAAGTCTCAATTATGTGAGGGAAGGTCGCTGGCATAATAGGAGGTCCGCTGCAGGGGACTAGAAAGTCAGGCAGGTTTGTAAGTTTTACTATAGCTTTTCATGTGACATCACAATTGTTGTTATACAAAGCATAATTTGGTCATATCAGAATTTTATGAATGGGATTCTTACGGTGGCTTTATATATGTACACATGGGTGTTCTGTGTTGGCGCTTCAAGATGTTGAGCTGTATGTTGTACATGGCTGGAGAGTTATATTTCTGTTGTTTATTAGTAGATTAATGCGAGTCAGTATATAAAGTTTTATAGAAGATGCCGAATCAGAATAGGTAAGGTGTAATTGGCGTCTTATAAGGCCATCTTATATTAATGCAGAGTGATATTTTTGCAACTATTAAGATTTGCATTATTGGCAGATAATAATTTATGCTATTGGAGTGTTAACTAGGTGTAATGTTATATAATAATTATGTATTTTGTACTTAATGTTTGTATTGTACAACAGTCTGTATACCTCGCTTGAACTAGTTGCAGGCCCATTTTGAACATTGTCAAGGCATTGTCAGCACTTTAAATAAGGTTGCGCATACATTCAGGTCGCGCATGAGTTGTGTGCCAAAAACTGGTTAGCGCAAGTGGGTCGCGCGACAATCTACTTTGCACACCACCCTAAGCTGCGCAAACAGAAGGGTATATCAAGCTGGGAACTTTTCCTAAAGCTGGGTTTTTTTTTGAGGAGTTTTGTAGTGAGTTGGGTTTTGAGTTGGAAGTTGGTTGAGTTGAGTTAGTTAGTAATTGAAGAAATGTATTTGTTGAAAGTTGTTAAGAAATTTTACTTTGGTTTTGACTGTTGATAGAAAATAAATGATGCAATTATTTTGATTTACTGCAATAAATATAATCCTGCTTTCACTTGGACTTGACTTGTTCATTGTACCAGCATAGAGAAATGGTTGACTTTTAAGCGAAAAGAGTGAATAAACAAAGCTTTTCACAAAAGAGAAGTTTTCGTAACAATATCACAGTGTATGGATTGTTTTAAAATCAATAATTTATTATTTTCTTTCAATCTTGAACATGAGGAATTGCCTCTTAAGTTATATATATTATGCAGAATGGCAAGAAATGTGGATAAATGGATAAATATAGAAAATTCCGCTTTATTTAGAGACAATAATAATTATAATCTGCAATTATGCCATTATGATTTTTTTTTTTGTATATTTGATTATACAAAAATTATGGTCATTTATCTATATGACTAACTAGCTTGGGTTCCAACGCCTGATGAATCCCCAGGCTTATGTCTAACATGCATTTTGAGAAAACCAGGGAATTTCAATGCATACTTATAATCTGCAAAATTGACTGTTCTTTGTTATTTACCCCGAGGCTCTCTTATCAGCAGGAGAGTGGTATAATGAAGAAAATACCAATACACAGCATGACTTGAGATTTTCCTCTACAATAAAAGTATTCTCTTTATACATTGAATTTTTAATATTTAAATAATGAATAAAGTTATCAAATTTATTTACTTTATGGATAATATTTTAATTATTTATATCTTTAAAACATATGCAAGCATTACACAGTTAAATACTACTAAATTATCACAGTATATCGATTGTTTTAAAATCAATGTATTAATATTCTCTTTCAATATAGAACATGAGGAATTGTCTGTAAGTTATATATTACAGAAATAATATTTTAGCTTAAATATAAACATTTCCTTGATTTGTTTGAACTGATAAAAAAAGTTTATGTTGTTACAAACTGAATTAATTGGGCCAAAATTATCACATTGATTTTCCCATTTGTACACTAGAAAAATTGAAATACATGGCCATTAAAAAAATAGCTTTAAAAACACTTATTTAATTATCCATTACGAAGCATATTTAAATTCAACCTTATTGATTCTATAATTTTGATTTTAAGGGGTATTATTTTACACTTACAGTTAAATACTGGTTAATAAAAATATGATTACAATAAATAAAAAAATATAAGCTTTAACGTGATAACACCTAAAATGTTTAAACTGCTGATTTTAAAATTTACTTATTTTCTATATATTCATGAATAGGCCATATTTTCCCAAAGTTTTTTTTTTCTTACAGCAGCTTAACAATGGATGCCCCCTGTCACTTGATATGCAATTATCCAATAAACTGTTTAGGTGTCACCTTCCCTGGCCAGCCTGATCATATGGTCTAGTGCACTAGAAGTGCACACGGTGTGCACTTTTAGTTCAGCTCTAGTGCACTAGAAGTGCACAAGGGTGGGAAGTTTAGTGTGAACTCAACTGTATACAAAGCATAAAATACAGACCGTATTTCTTTAGTTTTATGTTTTATCTACACCAGTATAGTGTTGCATTAAAAAAGTACACATACACAATAAAAAACAACAACAACAGCAACAACAGAGTTTCATCTGAGTATCGAACATGGAACTGCTTGCATAAACAAGCATTTTACCTCTGCGCCTCTCCGTGTGTATATAGATATTAAAATGGGCAGTGGAATTAAGAGTTCAAGTCCTGTTTATGTGAACGGTACATCTATAATCTTGAATCTTGAAATCTTGAATCTAGATCTACTTTATTTAATAAATGTGATGGTGAATTTGAGTGATTAGGGATTTTTAAATTTTAGTTAAAAATAATTATTAATTGCCTATTGCGGAGGAGTTTGAGTTGGCATGAGCGTTTCTGATTAATCCAAGACAGTCCAAGGCAAACGTTATAAAAACGACTCTATTTTTAACGATTGATGGTCAATTTTCGACGTTGATCAAAATTTAATATATTACTCCGGCTAAAAGTCCCAAGCACTACGAATTCGAAATCCCCCGGTTTTTTTTTTACCAAATGGGATAGGTCACATCATTGATCAGACCTTGATATCATCTAGTTTCAGTTTTTATTAAACCAAGGCATAATATTTGCAACTGGTTAAATTACAGTAACGGGATTTTTCCCCATTTTTTAATAAACCTTTAAATAATATTAAAATGAAGAATCTGGAATTGAAATTTCAATAGATCTACTATATATATACCAAGGTCAGCCATGCCGTTTTCGTCCAAGTTTACGTCACAGCCTATAAATAGATTCTTAAAATAAACTGTCAAATAAGTTGGGGAATTCACCTTTTATAGACATGGAATTAGAAATGTTTCCTTGTTTAAATTAATAAAATAAATTTATTGTATTGAATGTTATGAACATTTTGATGAAATGCAAAGGCGGATTTCCATAAATGTGAAACAGAGGTTGCTTTGCAGGTACATACTCCGTGTGATATATAAATAGACACAAGGAAGGAAATACCAAGTCTTTTTTTAGAATACCGGGTTTCTGGATGTACATAATTCGTTTACTTGGATTAAGCGGAGAAGAAAATAGGTTTATAGTTGGAAGATTCAAATAAATTGCTTGTTAATGACAGTTTATTTGGTTCATTTACAGGTACCGTCAGAGAAATGAAATAAAAGAATGAGAAATTACAGCACAGTAATGTCATAGTAGTCGGATACCTGAAGTCAAGTACGTAAATCTGTTTTCACCTGTTCTCCGAAATCGAAAGTTCCTCACTTGAAGTAAGTATATAGAAACTAACAGTTAAGTCATATATATTACAAGTTTATATGATACATGACTTTGATTATATATTAACATGAAAAAAAAGTTGATTTAGTCAGAATAATTAGATGTGCCAAAGCTATAGATTCTACTCTGGGTTCTATAACTATTTCTGTGGGAGGGAGATACATGTATACATGTATTACTCACAGACAAAAAAGCATTATATGTCAAGGTGTAGTAAAGTAAGTACAACTAAAGCTGATTAATCCATTATTTAAGTACAATTCAACACATTTTTTGTCTTGAAAAAAATCAAAATAATTAAAATTGTTCATAATATTCACCATGGACCACTAGGGCCTACACACTTTTCCAGCCTTAGAATCCATTCTGAAAAAGTATTTTTGAACAGTACTTCAGGTATACTGTTTATAAATTTGTAATAAAGTGCTTCCAATGGCACTTTGGGTTTCATATCGGCAACCATGAAGGCAAGATTTGACGTGGATGTAACCACAGACGCATAGGGGTCAGATCCTGCCCCCTAATGTGATAGCCTCTTTAAACACTCTATCAAAAATATAGTCTCTTTAAACACTCTATCAAAAATATTTTAATACTTAACACAATTGGAAACATCTGTAACAACGATAAGACTGTTTTTCAAACAAGTTTTACATATATGAAAAAAATACTGTATACCATCAAGTCATAATAAAGTACTTCTTCAAAACTTGACCATTTTCACAACACCTGACATTTTTGAAAATTATTTCTTTTGGTTCCATAGGAATTATTAAGGATTTTTATCATGGAGATACAAACCCCATGCTGGCTTATGGATGGACTAGTACCTTGGACTAGGATTTTACCTTCTGACTGTCTCAGCATGACAGGGATTTTACCTTATGATTGTCTCAGCAGGGCGGGGATTTTACCGCCTGGCTGATTCAGCAGGGAAGGGTTTTTACCTTCTGACTGTCTCAGCAGGGCGGGATTTTTCCCCTCTGACCGTCTCAGCAAGGCAGAGCTTTTACATTCTGACTGTCTCAGCAGGGCGGAGTTAATACCTTCTGACTGTCTCAGCAGGGCAGGGCTTTTACTGTCTGTCTTAACAGGGCAGGGCTGTTATTTCTTACTGTCTCTGCAGGGTGGGATTTTCCTTCTGATGGTCTCAGCAGGGTGGGAATTTTATTTCTGACTGTCTCTGTTGGGCATAACTTAAATTTCCCTGTTAACATAGTTTATATCTATTGATTTTATTCTTTTTACAGAAATGTCAGGAGGAGTTGAGGAACTAAACAAAGCTTTAGAAGATATTGTGAAGTTTGAGTATGATGTGTTTTTGATATTTGCTACAGACGATGATGCCTTAGCAAGAAAAGTGTGTGAAGGACTTGAACAAAATAATAAACGCTGTATTGCTCAGTTCAAACAGGATGCATTTCAAATCGGACATAATGTTTTTGATAATGTCGTTCGAAATGTTTCCAGGTCAAATACAACATTGCTTCTTCTAACTGAGAAATCACTTCAAAGCCACTGGGTGAAATTAGAGACTATTTTAGCTCTTGAAGAATCTACACGATCAAATATGCTACGGCTACGGTTGCTATTACACAATGTCAATGAAAGGGATATTAATTTTTTGAAGCGAGGTGTTTTGGCTTCGGTTCCTGTTATGAAAGTAGATTTCAACAGAAATGAATGGAGCAAAGAACTAGCTGAAGAAATTGGCAGTATGTATTATTCTTTAGTTTGAAGAAATTTAAAGCTACATTAAATAAATATGTAAAAATATTTTTGCCCATGGCCTTAAAACCAAGCATTCTACAGTTTCATTAACCTTTTTAACAGTATTGTAGTAAATCTCTTCAAATATTGTTCATAAATAAGGATTTTAAATGGAAAACCCTACGGTAACACTAAAGTTCGTATACGAATTTTAACATGCAAATGAAGACTATAATCAGCCCGTGTATGCGCTATGTCACGGTGTTATAGTTGCTATCCGGAACACAGCAAATATATGATTTTCTTGTGCAAATACGTTTTAACCATTTAAATATCACGGTGCACTAGGTTCAGAAAAAATAATCATCTCATAAAAAGATAAAATTTGTATGAAAATATCTGTTACATTATGCGGAAATATACCGTTAAATTAGTACTTATAATCATGTTTGTTGATTGGATGATCTGAAGGCAGAGTTTCTCATGCAAACAGAAATTGTACTTCCGAATTCGCCACAATGAGGTTACACATTTGTATGCTCATTAAACTCATTTTGGTTGTCTAGACACCAAAATAAGATCTGGAGTCATTATGAAACCCAATTTATTAATGAAATGTCTCTATTTCTTTTTTTATGAAATTTATTAAATGTAACTTTAAAATTTAGGTTGAACTAACATTGAAAATTACATTTTATTTTTGTAGCATAAAACCATTGATCTTTAATGGCTTTGTGATTGCATTCAGTTTCTTACATTAGATTAGTCATTTGCTGAATACTGCAGAGATTTGTTATTCATGTAAGGAATGTATGCGGAATTCTGCAATGTAATGGACAGGTGATTTAAGTTTGATGTTTCTCCTGGCTTTAATTAGCATAAACAGTACTTTTGACTTTTGAAGAAATCAGTATCTGCCAGTAAAACAGTTTAGACTGTAGCCATTAATCACTGTGACTTAAAATTTAACAAAATGGATTAGAAAATATGATTTATCACTATTTGATTACAGGAGAGATTCCCCTGCCTGATGTACTACCTGTTGGGAGTATGGCACATGGCCTTGTGTTCTCTCATTATACAGGCTTCCTGAGTTTTGTACTACCTGGTAAGTGACGTAAATTCTCATTGTCCAGTTAAAATAATTGTTAACATTTGTATTTCTGTTCTTTATTTCATATTGAATTATAACAGTTAATTCCTAAGTCAGAAAATTAACTTAATTATAATAAGATATTGTGGTTATGTTTAAATTGCCTACAACTGCATTGTCCATTTTATGTCACAATGTGCGTTAAGTATATATTTTATCATAGTTTGGGGACCTTTCTGTTGAAAATGTGTCAGAGTTAAATTATATACATATACATGCACAGTGCGTTAACTGGAGTGCAGGTATTAGTTACCCGCACTCCAAAGTATGCCCATTGATTGGCTCATTTTTTTGGGGGGTTTACTTATTGTGACGACAGAGAAAGGGTAAGCGATAGAAATTTCATATTCAGATGCTCGTTCATTGGTTACTTTAACATTATTTGTATTCTGTGACAACTGGGAACGTGTTTTTATTTTTAACTATGGTACAAAAGAGAAAGAAGATCAAAATACTCGGCAATCTGATTTATATTCAGGGGGTACGCCCCCTCGTACAAATCAGATAGCCTCATATTTCGATGCTCTGTCTATTACTTGTATGATAGTTTAACTTTACTACTATAAACTGTCAGAGTTAACCAATACATGTACAGGGCGTTAACTGGAATGCAGGTATTAGTTACCTGCACTCACTATCTGTCTAGAGCATGCTCGTTGATTGGCTAATTTTTTCTTGGGTTTACTTATTGGGTTGACCGGGAAAGAGATAATAATAGTAAAGTCATAATTATTCAGATGCTGGTACATGGATTATTTTTTCTGGGGTTTAGTATTATGACGACAGGGAACGTGTTTTTATGCCCCCCGCATACCAATCACTGATAGCCTTTTGTTTCGATGCTCTTGTTTCCAGAGTTCTTTTCCAGGATTTTGGGAACATGACCTATACACATGTAATTGGGAACTAAATGAATCAGCAATGTTTTATTAAAAATTGGGAATAAATCTCATGAATTAACTTTTGCAACGATTAAAGGAATGCAAAGAATCAATGACTAGGATAGCATCTTCAACATTTAAGTACCATAACAGTGAAGAGGCCCTTATTTTCAAAGATTTTAAAATTTGTTTTTCAATATTTTTTCCTGTGGCTTGGGAAAATAATATACTTTTTTCAATTGGGAATATGACAGGAAATCGGCTATGAAATAAGCCCAAAAAAATGCCTGGTTTTGATGCCCTTTCTATTACTTTATATTGCTGGGGAAGCTGTCATTAAACTGTCCTTGCTATTAAAGGAAAAAAGCCCTGGAAATCGTATTCATTACCCAGCTATTTGTAGTCTGTTGATTTTAATGTTTGGCATAATTATGTTCTTATATTAATCAAGTAGACTTATATTTGTTTTACTCCAGTGTTAAAGGAAAAACTCAAGCAGACAGAAATATACAAAAGATGTCCGGACAAAGTTTCCATGAAGTACAACATGCTACTTCCTGGCTCCTGTAACATTTACGCTGACCTGTCATCACGTGATGAAGACAATGGTATAGAAATAAAATTCGAAGAGACACTTGAATTTACTGCACATCATGCTGGGAAACTGAGGAATTTCTCGTTAACAATTTACAAAATAACGAGAGAAGGCCAGGTTGGTGATATTTTTTAATAAAATCCAGCAAAAATATAACACTTACAGCCTCCCTTGTCTCATCTCAGATATTTTTACAACCACGTCACTGCTCTTGAATTTATTCCGAATATAAAACAGGGTCTTTCAAAAAATGAGTTGTTTTACAATAGTTTATGCCAAAGAAATGCTCAGCTTGCTCTTTAATGAGAAGTTTTTATGCCCTCCCAAAAGGGCAGCATATTAAAAGCACACCATCTGTCTGTTCGTCTGTGTGTCCCACTTACACGACATTCGTGCCCGGACTGTAACTTTGTCATGCATTGAAGGATTTGAAAAAAAAAAACTTGTCACAAAGGTCTACCACATCCTGATGATGTATGGTATGTAACAGTGTTTAGACACATTCATGTCCGAACTGTAACTTTGTCATGCATAGAGGATTTTAAAACTTAGTATAAATATCTATCACATCAAGATGACATGTCACGTCCAAGACTCATGTCCCTACCTCCAAGGTCAAGGTGGGAAGTTTGCTATGAATAGCACTTCATTTCACAAGAACAATATTAAGCAATTAGTTACATTTAGTCTCTTCTTTTCATAATACCTTTCTGCAATACTTAAACCTAAACCTTTTTGGGGCAAAATGTCCCTTTGTACGTGTCAGCTGTTGTTTATGGTTAAATTTGATACATGTTTTAAAAAAAATGGAAAATGAAAGTAATGTTGTGGGAACAAAAATTTGTGTTAAGAAAAAGATTTTCCTTTTCAGGAATATTACTTCTTTGCTGATTTCCCAAATGTGCTGAATTCAATGTTCAAAATGGAGGCGGAGCAACTAGCAGAGGTTGACATACGATTTCAGATAGCGAGGTTTTACTACACCATGAATGAGATGATTAACCATGCAGAAAATAAAGTGTGTCACAATACTGTTCAACTTGTCCTGTTTAATGGTAAATTTGTTATTATTATCCTGTTTCAATTTTATTATGCTTCCCAAAGGGTGTGCATATAAACGCCGCTTTGTCCGTCCATCCACTTTTCTTGTCTGGGACATAACTCTTAAACTATTAGAGATATCAACGTGAAACTTTGTAGGTAGATAGATCTCATTGGGAAGAAGTGAAATGCACAGAAACTGTAACTCTGCCTCACCTAATTTTAGAGTTATTGCCCTTTGTTTATTTTTACACTTTGAACTTTGTTTAGGAAATTACTGTTAAACTACAAGAGGTATCAACAAGAAACTTAGTCGGTAGGTAGATCTCATTAAGAAAGAAGCCTTAGTTTTGAATTATCGCATTTTGAACTTTGTCCTGGACATAACTCTGAAACTTCAAAAGGTATACTTTTCTGTGTCCAAAACCTGTTAGGTGAGCATCACCCGGTTCAACCGGCTCTTGTTTTGTTTAATACATATAATAGTTTTTTTATCCTGTTAAATGATAGAAACAAAAAAAAGATTATATAAATTATTTGAACAGAAATTGTGTAAACAATAAAGATATTGTATATTTGAACAGAAATTCAGAGAAAAAATAAAGATATTGTATATTTGAACAGAAATTATGAAAACAATGAAGATATTGTGTATTTGAACAGAAATTGTGAAAACAATAAATGTATATTTGAACAGAAAATTATGAAAACAATAAATATATTGTATATTTGAACAGAAATTGTTGAAACAATGCAGGATGCTTTATGGCATGTGGTGTCTACTGGTGTACAAGACCAGGCAAATCAGACACTTAATGAAGTAAGTAACTGTCAGCTTCCTAAATATAAAATTATAAATTATTCAAAATATCTATGGATGATGCAACCCAACAAATACTTATGACTTATAATACCCCCCAAAAATGAAGTTTAGGGGAGTTATAATACAAGAGTCAGCTTGTCAGTTGGTCTGTTGGTTCATCGGTTGTTCCACTTCATGGTTAACATATGATACCTAGAGTTTGGAGTGAGTTATTGTAATCAAACTTGATATATAGCAAACTTATGTGGAAACCCCGGTTGGTATTAGTTTTGGACAACTAGGGTCAGGGTCAATGGCATTGTTACTGAAAGTTGAAAAATGTTTTGTGGACAATTAGAAGGAATCAAACTTGACATGAAGACTGAAGTTGTTATTGCATTTGGACTTTCTGGGGTCAAGGTCACCATTACTTAAGATAGAAAAATGGTTTCAAGTCAAAAGCTAGAGTTAAGAATAAGATATTAAAATTAAGCTTTTATGAAGACACCGGTTGGGATTGCTTTTTGACCCCTTGGGTCAAGGTCAAGGTCACTGGGCCTAGAATAGCAAAATGGTTTCTGGACAATAACAAGAGTTAGAAATGAGATATTGTTATCAAACTTGGTATATACATTGAAGCAAGTTTATATTAAAACCCTTGTTGGGATTGTTGAGACCATTGGTCAAGGTCACTGTATTTTAAATAGAAAAATGATGTCCAGATGAAAACCAGAGTTAACAATGAGATATTGTAATCAAACATGGTATTTAACAAGGTAATGTGGACACCTTACCTAGAGTAAGGAGTAAGATATTTTAATACAACTTGGCATTTAGCATTCAGATGAAGATACCTAGCTTGGGTTTGTTGTTGGATTCCATAAGTCCAAGGTCAAGGTCATGATACTAAAAAGGTTGGGTTCAAATTTTGCTTAGACATGTCAGACCACTATTTTTTAAACATCAAGGTTGCTGGTGGTGGATATGAATCGCCTTTATTGATAATAAATATTTGCTTTATTCCTGGATATGAAGCACAAAAAGGTTTCCATATGCACAAACAGAAATGTTAAAATGTTTCTAGCCTAAATAACACTGCATGCCATGTTAACATTCGTCTGTCTTAATAACCATTGTTTATAAATATCCTTAGTTAAAAAGAGATATGACTCTGAAAATATTGCTGTCAAAAAATGCCCCTTAAAGATTTTTTGTCAGGTTATATGGCCATATTACCAGGCTGGCTAGGTCATAGAACATGTCAGGAATATTTATATAACAACTTTATGGTAAAATAAAGAAAAAAAGTGAGATTTATTCATAAATTTACAACAGCAGTGTAAATAAAACTATATAAACCATGATCCAATGAAAAACGACTTTACAAACATACAGTTTTATAAGGTTAGTTATATGTTGTTGTTTTTTTTCAGACGGTAGCATCAAACCTACAGCAGCCTATACAGAGGTTGAATGATCAGCAATCAGACAGTGATAAGGAAGGAAACGATGTTACAATTACTTGCTATGAAGATTGTTCTAAAGATAAAAATGTAGCTGAGGAAATTGGACATTTTCTTGAACAAAAAGGGAAAAAGGTTCAAATGTATAGTCAGAAAGCTCTATCTGTACCAAAGGCAAAGTGGTACATATTTGTGTTGTCTAAAGAAGCTCTTCGTGAATCAGATACGCTACAATTTCTATGTACAGAGGCATTAGCAGAAAGTCTGGGAAACAATGAATTACGGGTACTGGTTGTGATTAGGGATGTTGATCCCAGACATATTCCTAGGTTTATTAAAAGTGTAAACATGCTCAAAACATCGGAGCCAAACTATTGTGACAAAATTCTAAAATCTATGACAGGTATGTGAATAATTATGGTATCATCTTGAGTTTACATATGAAGCACAAACATAACTGAATTAAAATCAAACATTTTGTCATTATGGCACAGCCAGGAATCAAGCATGTGTCTTTTAGAGGCAGAATGCTTACTACCTCATTGCTATGACCTCTAAGCATATCCGTTTACCTTTGAGCTATTTTTCGGACAAAACATATGAGCTATTGCTATGGTCATGATGTCCATTCCCGCTGCTGTCCATAAACTTTAACACTGGCCATTATCTTTTATTTTCCTTATGGATTTTTCTTCATACTTGAACACATCAGTTCTTTTAACAAGACCTTAAGGAAGACCAGACTGAACTTGACCTTGACTCATATATGACCTTGACCTTAAAGGTCAAATTTTTGCTATTGTTGGCTTTAACTTTGTTACCTTTAAATGGATTGTCTTCATACTTTAAACACAACAATCTTTTGGACTTAAACACAACAATCTTTTGGACAAAACCTTTAATTTGATCAAACTGATTATGACTTTCATACAACAATGTCCTTGACCTTGAAGGTCAAATTATTGTGATATTTACAGTTTTGTTATATGTAAATTATGAATATATTCTGTTTTTATACTTGTGCACAAAAATCTTTGGGAAAAGACAATAAAGAAGATTTAATTTAACTTGTCTTTGACTCTAATTTGACCTTTGCACTTAAGGTCAAATTAGTGAATTTTGTTGCTATTGGCCATAAATTTGTTGTATATTTACGAATTTGATTTATACTGTTACTTGGACAAAAGAACACTTATGGTTAAATATTTCAAATATGACTTTAGCCTTAATTAGTAGCATTGAAAATTTTTTAAATTGTCATAATATTGTAATTCATTTACATATTTGATTCATACATATATTTGGACAAAAGAACCCATATAACAAAACCAACATGTTGAATTATTCTGATATGACCTTGACATTCAAGGTCAAATTATTGAATTTTGCTTAAATTATTATAACTTTGTTATTTACATGACAGATTTAACAGATTTGATTCATATGTGGACAAAAGGACATGTTGAATTATACTTATATGACCTTCACCTTTAATTTACCTTGACTGTGAAGGTCAAATTATTGAAATTTGCTTAAATTTCCAAATTTCTTTATTATTTATGGATTTGATTCATTCATTGACAAAAGAACACATATGACAAAAAAAACATGATGATGAATCAAATTTGATTTTGACCTTTAATGGACTTTGACCTTTTAAGATCAAATATGAAATTTGAATTTGATTTGTTACAAAAAAAATATGTTTTTTGTAGGAGTACTCTTTACTGTAATATTCTTCCACTGATGTCTTGATATGAAATTTGAATTTGATTTATTACAAAAAAAATATGTTTTTTTGTAGGAGTACTCGTTACTGTAATATTCTTCCACTGATGTGCTTGATTTTAGAAATATGAAAAGTCAAGCATGGCCTCAACTAGTTGTTTGCTCTTGTAAAAGGTTTCTTGCAGTTCAGTTCTGTATAATAATATTAAAAAAAGAAATTTAAAAAATCCATACAGAAAATTGTAGAAAATACAAAATTGACCTGACAGATATACATGCACACAGTTAATTTCCTCTGCACAATTACAGGCATTTATAGACTCAACATTTTGGTTGTTACCCAAAAAAAGGTTAAATTTATTGGAAAGTTCTGAAAAAAATTGATACATGTTTAATTGGTGTCTTGTTTAATATGACAGGTGACGTGTTAAGACTGGAGCATAGTTTACCTGCGGGGGATGTGGCTACAGGTCTAAGCTGGGCTTATGTAATAAACTATCTGGTGATGACACTCTTGGGGAAATCTTCAGAGGAAACAGGAAAGTTAAGTAAGTGCATTGCATTTTGCTTGTATAGGATAGATTTTTTATGAAAAAAAAAGTCTATTGTGATATAAAAACCCATCAATATTTTTAGCATTGTCTGAATTATGCATATTTCTTTGTTATAAATATACAGCATTTTTTGTTTGACAGATTTGAAGCAAAGAATACAGAAGTTTTTAAAAGACAAAAACATCAAATGTGGTTGTATTTACAAGATGTTTATAGTGTTACCAATGTCCTGTACAACAGCACCAAAGCTTGCTGACAAAGCAAATGAAAGGTAAAATTGTTATATCTGATAGTGAAGACTTTGAGAGCCGAATACAAACAAGTTCCAGATCAAGAGACTCTTTTAGTGTTTGGAATAACTTTTGTCCAATAGGATTGCAGTATTTCAGATGAATCATGATACATTTTGGTAAATCGGCTAACTATTTATCATTCTAGTAAATCGACTGTAAATTATAAAAATAATATTTTCAAACACTAAATTGGCTTGTGTTCATTAGTATTTTTGAGTATTTGTCACGGACACTCCTATAGTGTAACACTAGCATTTAGGGCACTTTTGCGATATTTTTGTATAACTCAAATGATGTCATAGCAAAGTATTTGCACTGCTGTACAATACCATTTATAGAGTCACAAAATATGCCTTGGGTATGTGACAAAACTAAATATTGTTCTGTTACTCAATGCCATTCAATACCATGCATCAGAAAATTTTATGTCATAATAGATCTCACTTGTTTACAATTTATGATTTTTTTACTGTCAGGTCACAATATTTGTGCAGGTTATATAAACAGTAGATATGGCAATTTGTTTTTCAGGTATATAATTCATAATGTACAGAAGGTAATGTGACTTCTGTAGGACTTGAAATAGGTCTTCAACCCTAAACATGGTTTATGAGTTGTAGGGATTTGACGTGCTTTGAATTTGGTACAGTCCCTTTAAAGTTTAAGGGATTTTAATATCAAAATACAGAGATATGGCTACCAACAAGTTCAACAACATAGGCTGTGGTTAGTCCAACTAAGTGTACTGTGCAAAGAGCTATGTTCGTGTCTGGGCAATATCTCACCTCTAAAAGCGAGATTCTGCCCTAGAGAAAAAATATCTCAGAATCTAGCTTTGGCATGTCAATATATTTTGACTAAGACCGAGGTAACACTGCACTATCAGAGGTATATCACTGTAGGCAAAGCATTACACTCATTGACTGAACTTCTTTACTCTTCCCTACGTTTATTTCTGTTTCAAGAATTTCTTACTTTACTTTTAGCGGAGATGGAACTAAAATTGTGACACACCTGGGACTTACTGAACCTGTAGTTAGTGATACAGGTGGTCAGAAAGGCAGAAAGAGTTTCCTGCATATGTACAAACATGAGGACACAGAGTCTAAAAGGGTAAGTCTACTTGCTTGCTTTACAAGGAAATTTATATTTTTACAATGTAATGACTAAATCTAATTATGTTAAATATATTAGAGGATATCTTTTTTATCTCCCCACCATGATGCAGGAGAGGATTCTAGGAATGCTCTCTCTCTGTCTGTCTGTCTGTCTGTCTGTCTTTATGTAACACGTTCATGTCCATATCTTCCACATTCTGTGATGGATTTTCACGAAACTTGGCTCAAATGTTTTGCCCATTGAGATGATGTGCAGAAGGCATGAGTCAGCCATTTTGGCTCAAGGTCAGGGTCACAAAAGTAAAAAGGCCTGCATTTTGTTCAAATGTTCAGTTCATTCCAACTTGACATACTTTAAACTAGTTCACTGATAGGGATTGATGCAAATTATCAGTTTGACTTACTTTTTTTTCATTTGAATTTCCTGAATTTATAACTTTCATATTTGTGCATTTAATTTTCATTGAAATCCATGTGAAATAACGTAAGTCAGCCCGAGGTCGTTACTTCTCTAAAAAAAATATTGAGACTCATGGCAAAACCAAGAGACATGACACTGAGTTATGTATGCATGTACATGGAAAGCTTTGAAATTCTTCTTTTACAAAATTGTTTTTCTAAGTTTGAAATTATTTTACAAAAATAGTCCTTATGTGACTATTTACTTATATTGTTCAAGACCCTCTTTTGTAGATTCACAAAACATTTTTATTGATATTTTGTTTAATCTAGTGATATCATAAAACGATTCAAAAAGCAACACAGTTTATAAAAAAAAACATGTTTTGCTTTTATTCTGTTGCAGAATGTTTGCTTTATAGCAGAATACTGTACGCCTGCCAATTGTATGCGAGAGATGGTAGAGAACTATAAGTTTGCTGGATTAAGTGAGGAGGAGATGAGGAAACAATGTGATGACTTTGCTGAGTTACTTCCAGATATTATTGGGAGAGAGATGGTAAAGAGGAAGCTAGGAGATATCAGTAAGCTGGTTCAACTGATATATTATGATGGTACGTAGCTGTTGTAGTTTATACTAATTTATTTTAGTTTGATTGTTTTGGAGGCTATAAGTTTACTGAAACACACTCGAATCTGTCAGTAGAACCAACCAGTACTAAGTAATGAGTGTAAAGTTTCTTGCTATAGGAAACAATGGCTTCATCACTGGGGTTTGAACCGCATGACCAGCAATCCTTGGATTACTAAACTGACCAGTTAACAACTACACCATGCTGCTACTCTAGCTGTAATGATAATGCAGAGCCTCCTCAATCCATAGCACTGGCCCCTAACTGAAGTGGGTTCGAATCTTGTTTAAGACTTTTGATCCTTTCATGGTAGGGATCTCTCCAGCTAGCATATGAGAGGTCAGTGAAAGGTCAGTGGTTCAGCTTTTATCAAATAAGTGAAAGGAGTCTGGTATTTTGTTTGGTTTAAATATTTCCCCTCAGAGAATGTTTATGGAAAGTAATATTATACATGTAAATGATTGCACCAAAAATATTGAATCATACCAGAAACTCGCGTAAATATATCTTGTAATGGATTAATTACTCATAAAGAATTGCAATCATTCTGGTCACTAAGCATTTATTTGTTTGCTTGTCAACCTTAAGGACATTTAATAATAGATGTCTTATTACTATTGTTTCTCTCTTTTTCATCTATGTAATGTTTATAGGCATTGCATATAGTGTGTTGGTGTGGTGAATACTAGGGTGATTAAAAATGAACAATAACTTTTCACTTACGTAAGAGATAAGGTTTTTGAAGTATTTGCGTTAATACTTTTAATTAAGGAAGTGGTTTGTTACAGTAGAGGTGGGGGCGTCTTTGCATAAGATAATACTGAGAACAAATAAGCGTTCCAAGTATTGGATTAGTTTTCAGTTTCATAAGCACTCATATATTTTTTTTATTATCCCCCTAATTTTTTTGGGCGTGGGAAAAAAAAATATAATTATATTTAAAATATTGCATGTCTGTTTATGAAAGTTTATAAAAATTTATATATTATACATGACTGCTGTTAATTTAAAAAAAAGGAAGTTTGCAGTATTATAAATTTGTTATAAATATTCCTGATAGGTTATATAACCATATATAAATGGTTGTTTGCAATATAACCCTCACCTAGGGGCTTGGGTTATATTTCCAAACAGCCATTTATTTAGGGCCATATATATAACCTGTCAAAAATCTTTATAACTAATAATATATTCAGTAACTAAACATATGATTTCATATGGTACAGGAATATAAACATATATTTCAGTTTCTGCCTATGCACACTGATATTTTAGTCATGCGTAATAAGGACAATAATTCATCCCATTAGTGGAAACAAAAAAAAAACAATTAGTGTTTATTTTTTTAATTTTCTTTACATTGTCTAAAGTAATTTGCTCCTTTTGTGAATGGATACATTATAGTGATGTAAATGATAAAGCAGTAGTGGTGTTTTAATATCCTCTAATCATCGGTAAAAAAATAGTGGTTAAAATTAATTCTCAATTATTTTATTTCCATTTTAAAGTAACTTGAACATTGAAAAAATACATGAAGAACTTACTACCATACTAATGAGATCTTAGAAAATTGTTTAATAAACTAGATTTAAATCACTTCCACAAATTGATGCAAAATTTGTCTTTATAAGGTATCTTTTTTCAAATACCATGTTGATAAAATATCTTTTAACATCACTTGTTTTGACAAACATTTTAAAAAAATCACAAATTGTTTTATATGTTTGAGACATTATTAAGAGACTCCCTTGTCATATGTGACCTTGCAGTTGCACTCTGTACTCGAACTAGTCTGCCTCTGGTATTGAGTATGTGTATATATGTGTATCATCAATAATAAAGAGTTTATGACTGGTTATCAGGCTGTGGTTATATTGCCTTGGTTATATGGCCATGTGGATAAACACATTGGTTTAACTGATGTCAAAGGTTAAACACATTGGTTTTAATTATGTCAAAGGTTAAACACATTAGTTTTACTGAAGTCAAAGGTTAAACACATTGGTGTTACTGAAGTCAAAGGTTAAACACATTGGTTTTACTGATGTCAGTGGTTAAACACATTGGTTTTACTGATGTCAATGGTTAAACACATTGGTTTTAATTATGTCAAAGGTTAAACACATTGGTTTTACTGATGTCAATGGTTAAACACATTGGTGTTACTGAAGTCAAAGGTTAAACACATTGGTTTTACTGATGTCAGTGGTTAAACACATTGGTTTTACTGATGTCAATGGTTAAACACATTGGTTTTAATTATGTCAAAGGTTAAACACATTGGTTTTACTGATGTCAATGGTTAAACACATTGGTTTTAATTATGTCAATGGTTAAACACATTGGTTTTACTGATGTCAATGGTTAAACACATTGGTTTTAATTATGTCAGTGGTTAAACACATTGGTGTTACTGATGTCAAAGGTTAAACACATTTGTTTAAATTTTGATAAAGGTTAAACACATTGGTTTTACAGATGTCAATGGTTAAACACATTGGTTTTAATTATGTCAAAGGTTAAACACATTGGTTTTACTGATGTCAGTGGTTAAACACATTGGTTTTACTGATATCAAAGATTAAACAAATTTGTTTTACTGATGTCAATGGTATCACACATTGGTTTTAATTATGTCAAAGCTTAAACACATTGGTTTTACTTATGTCAAAGCTTAAACACATTGGTTTCCAGGAGGAAAAGCCTCAGACATATCTTTCTTTTGAAAGACTTTATACAGGTGGCATAGATGTTTAGTTAAATTTTGTCATTAATTAATTTTGACATAAATTATATTCTATTTATAGACAAATCAGAGACCCTCTTGTCAGCCATTGGGAGACATATTGATGAAGCCGGATCGGAGATGATATTTGCTGAGGAGATGCCACCACGTACTGGAGAACAAAATTATCACCTGCCTTGATGATTACAGTTCATGTTGCTGTCTGTTAGAGGATTTCACAAGATACACAAAACTTTATTTTTAAAGTTAATATACATATAACAATTTTTTAAGATGGAACGGTCAGCTTCGAGCTGTTTACTTACTATATTATAGGATAAACTTTACATAACAAATAGCTGTGATAGAGAGTCAATAGCATTTATTTCTGTTATAACATATAATAATACATAAAATATTGTTTAAACATTAAAGTCATTAAAGATATATTAAGAAAAAATGAAAAATGATTTTAAAGTTTATCAAAACATATATATAATTAAGTTAAAGGAAAAGTACATTTAGGCGAAAAGTACATTAGACAAAAAGTACATTAAGACTAAAAGTACATTTACACGAAAAGAACATTTAGTCGAAAAGAACAGTAAAGATACACTACCATAATCACAAAAATGATTAAATGTGAAATTAACATAGCAGCATACATGTATGGATGCAAACTGAAACAAAAAATTGAAAATGAAAAAGTTTATCACATAAAAAGCATCTGAAAAGATAAGCTTATATTAGAATTAAAATATTAAAAGCACAAAAACATTCTTTTTTCTAGGCACAGTTTTTCACAGACTTATCACAGACTTTTCACAGTTTGTCAAACTTTTGTCACAGTCTGTTACATACTGATGCTATGGTACCTGGTATGTCAAGTTTTATTGGATAAATGTCTTGCATAATTTCTGACAAAAACATCAAAACAAGTAATGATGGACTTCATTGATATTTTTGGAAAAAATTTGCATTGACATTTAATCATTAACATCTTAGTTGTTTCAACATAATTATGAATTTGCTAAATGTAGTCCTTAAATTCAATTTTGCATTTACTTTTAAGTGACTTTTTTAATGATACCTATTAAAATAATAGCATTCAGAAATTAATCCATTTAGTCATTTTTGTAAATCATCTTTTGTAAAATGTAATTATAAGTACACAACATTGTAAAGGTACTTTTTCTGCAGATTTCAATGCAGAAGTAAGAAACCAATGGTAGGGGCAAACAACTACAAGTCTAGTTTTGGTTTCCATGGTTACCATTTTAATTTCAGTGTTTACTTCAAAATAGACTAGTCGTAATATGAAATCAGATTTGTTGATTAATAATTGTAGGTTTGTCAGGGTTAAACTTGAAGTTGTTATGATGTCAGCATATAATGTTGTCTAAGATAGATTGTTCAAAATGTCCAATCTGACCTGGTTCTATATTGTTTACATCATAATTTTGTGGTAAAATAGGTTGTGCTAGAAACTGTCAAATTTTATGCATGTTGTTATGACATTTGAGGCATATTTACCTTATTTTTTCTCATACTTTGTGAGAAGTCTTGTCTGCTGTCTTGGTAAACATTGTCTTCATTTTCTTCCTGTTTTTATGCCCCCCCCCCCTCTGTATCCCAACTTACACAACATTTGTTTTCTGACTGTAATTTTGTCATACATTGAAGTATTTTAAAATAACTTCGCATAAATGTCTACCACATCAAGATGATGTGTCGCGTCAAAGACCAATTAGCAGTAATAAGCAATTAGTCACTTTCATTCTCTTTTCTTTTCATAATACCTTTTTGCAATAATTAAGATATCTTTTCAGGGGCATTGGTCACTTTTGTGTGACAGCTCTTGTTACTTTCACCTCTTCATTTGAACATATTCATATAGAAATACCTCTTTAATAACTTTTCCTCCTTTCATCATACGTAATGTTACATGATGTATCACTTTTGACAGCTCTAGCTTTATTGAGAAATTCTAAGTCAGAACTACATGTCAGTCTGAATATAAATACCTAAAAAAAAAACAATAAAAAAAAAAAAATCATCAACAAATAAAAAAAAGTAATACAAAAACCACCCAAAGCATCATGTTCTTTAAATAATTAGAAAGAAAACACATTTTTTTTTTAAATATTCTACATCTTATTTCATGGTATATCCACTATCCTATATATTTCACTCATTTTTTATGTATAAAATATGTATACATGTATTCATTCTTATATTATATGTTGTTGAGTTTTTATTGTTAAATGTTACTGAAATGTTGGTGATATTTAAAGTGACAATATGCTCATTTTTTTGCTGTCAAGGTGAGCTGAAAAAGTTATATATTTCAAATCGTCAATGACCAATCTATATTAAATGACAAATGGTTAGGGTAAAATATAAAGCTGCCAAAATATATAAAAAGACTGCCCAACTCTTTATAAACTGAGTATTTCCAACACATTCTGAAGGATATTTATAGACTTTTACATGGATCACTTGTGAACATGTTAGGTAGGATATAAAATTAAAAACACTTATGGTGAAATATGTTATTTTTACCATTTTACCTTTACACTCAACGTTTACACTATGATGGGCATAATGTCACTTTAAAAAAAAGTTGTTTTTCTTACAGTGTATGAGATATAGTCTGTGGACTTATAAATGGGCACTTTATGGTTGTACATTGCAATGTTTATTTTTAGCTTAATTCTGAAGCACATATTTCAACATGTTTGTTACTAATATATTTGTCATTGAACTATTTGATAAACTAGTTTAGGATACTAAAAACGAGTGAATTCATCGCAGCATAGCCAAGAGGTGAACATGTCAGACTTAGTTATCTAATCTTGATGTGTGGGTTCAAACCCCAGCAGGGGGGTATGCCACTTTTTCCTTAAGCAAGAAGCTTTACACTCATTGCTAAGTACTGGTTGGTTCCAGGAACAAATATGAATGTGTGCTTAGAAACTTTTTATGTAGCTCACTATTTGAATTAAATGAATTCTGTATGAACTAAAAACAGGTGAATTTAGGGACCATACAGGTAAAATACATTGTATAGCATATCATGGAAAACAGATTGCTTTCAGTGCATCAAAATTATTTGGACAGTTGTAATACATTTAAACACAGAATTTTCCATTAGTTGATCCATTACATAAGTAATACATTGTCTAATAAGGTTTCAGACAGAAACCAAATTATATGATTTTTTCAATACGGTTTTCATACAAAATTAACATTATCTATACAGAATGAAACTGTTTATACAAAAATGCATTAGTATTCTTTTTTTCCAAAAGCAATTAACAGATTTGTTAATTAAATTGAATGTTGTTTAATTGAATGTTATTGAATTTTGTCATGTATCTAATTTTCATAATGTGTGATCTAATTGTGTGATATATCTTCAAGGGACCAACTTTCCTTTTGAATGTTCATTTAGAATTGTCAATTATTATGTAAATTAACCTGTCACCACTATTTTAATGACTCCCTGCTTGATGACAGTCCATTATATACCCACATCTAGGCACTTTTCCAGTCTCTTTCTCCATTCTGTAGAATAGACTCACTGAGGTTTTTTAATGACGATGAAATATTTATTATTCTCCCTATTACCTATACTAATGTCAATCATTAGCTCTCTTTTTTCAAATAATTATTAAAAATAAAATACCCAATGAAAGCTTAACCTTTCAGAATTTAAACTATATATACTTCAAACATACTTTTCAATGTATTTCTTTAATTATATCATTTATATTTCCTGTTTATAGTGCTCACTGCATCTAGTGGAACAGAATTATCAATTTATGTTAGAGCTTATAAAAACTCAGTGAGTTCTTTAAAATAGTGATAGTTTTTCATAGTTTTCTTCCTTTATATATCAAAATACAGAAAATCAGTAGCTTATAGTTTAAAGAGATTTGCTATCAATGTATAGGTGAAATAGGCAAGTTCTTGTTGCCAATAGAATTTAAATGGGCAATTTATATTGTCTTGTCCCATGTATAGACAGGGTTTCTTTGTATTTATAGATGAATTATTATGTTATATTCATTACTAATTTCAAGATTTAAGGAAAGGTTTAATGTATGGCCGTGTATAATACTGTACATTTAAAATATCACTTTTGATTGGATATTCATGACTTTTATAAACTATGTATAGTACAACACTGGTGTAAATATACAAAGTAATTGTGTCATATTTCAGCAATTGTAGGAATTGTACTACTGTATAAAACGACTGTTATTAAAGCAGCGACTATATTAAAAAAAATTCATCCAAGATTTTTGACAAGATTATATGACTGTGTATATAACCAGACACCTTGGTTAGTGGCCCATGTGTTATATAAGCTTACATGCCATGGCTTATATAACCATTTTTAGCTCGACTATACGAAGTATATGGAGAGCTGTCCTACTCGCCCCGGCGTCGGCGTCCACGTCCGCGTCCAGATTTCAGATTAAAGTTTTGGTGCAGTAAAATATTTTTCACTATAACTTTGTCATTTCTTAAAGTATCAACTTCAAACTTCAAATATATGTTCCTTATCATCAACCACATCTTATGTGACAAGGTTCATAACTCTAGCACCAATATTTTCAGATTTATCTCCCCTTGAACTTAGATTTTTCCTTAAAAAATACTATTTTTTACTGTTACTTCTTTATTTCTTAAGGGATCAACCTCATACTTCAAATATATGTACCTTATCATCATCCCCATCTTATGTGACAAGGTTCATAACTCTAGCACAAATATTTTCAGATTTATCTCCCCTTGAACTTAGAATTTTCCTTAAAAAATACTATTTTTTTACTGTTACTTATTTATTTCTAAAGGGATCAACTTCATACTTCAAATATATGTAACTTATCATCATCAACATCTTATGTGGCAAGGTTCATAACTCTAGCACTAATATTGCAAGAATTATCTCCCCATAAACTTAGATTTTTTTTACTAGAAAAATGTTTTTTTTTACTATAACATTTTTAGTTTTAAAGGTATCTACCTCAAACTTCAAATACTTATTCCTTATCATCAATTACATTTTATGTGACAATGTTCGTAACTCTTGAAGCAATATTTACAGATTTATCTTTCTTTGAACTTAGGATGTTCTTCAAGAAATATTATAACTTTACTTTTTAAGGTATCTACTTCAAACTTCAAATATATATTTCTTATCATTACACACATGTTGTGTGAAAGGTTCATAACTCTAGCATGACTTTTTCTAGAATTATTCCCCTTGATCTTGGAATTTATGTTAACAAATGATATTTTTTCACTATAACTTAATACATAATTATACATAATTGGTTTTTCTTTCATAGTTTTGTCCTCCTTACTGCGTCCAATATTTTATTAGTCGAGCTTGGCTGTCTCCTGTGACAGCTCTTGTTAAAACTAATTATATAAATGGATATATAGCATTGTGGAAGTTTAACCTGTGAAATGTGCTTATGACGAATTTATAATGCACTATTGCTTAGAATAAAAAAGTTATGGAATGAATTAGTAGCTGCCATGTTTATATTATCACTTTAGAACACCAAAACAACGTGCAAAATTGAAAATGTTGCAGACTCAGTTTGATGGAGCCTATACATGGATGCAAGCTACCGCTTACGTCACCTAGCACGGAGGGTAAATTCTACAATTATAAAACATGTACTGGTGAAATCCCAGCTTTATTTAAAGCTGTGGTGAAATATTTGAAATTAGAAACATCTGCAGATATGTAATATAATCATTTCCATTGTCAAATAAAATTTGATTTTAAAAAATTGTACTGTATTATTATATGTTGAAGTGTACTAAATTGAAAACAAGCTATTGTTGGCATAAATATTTTGAAACACTTTATTGCTGTGATTGACTATTATATTGTACTCAGCTATGCATCATATCATATCTAAATGTGTATTTCGTATTTTTACATGTTGATTTTTATGTCTGAAAGTTTCAGATTTTATCTTCGCCTCTTATGTTTAATTATGTTTATCAGGATCTTTGAAATAGAATTATTTGAAAGACCCTGAGTTTATTAAATATATTACAGACACCCCTGTAACAAAGAATTAAGTGAATTATTTATCTCCATCACTTTGGCTCAAGTAGTCTATGACAATATTTTTGAATGTAACCTGGCTGTCACAACTTAAATTTGTCGCCTGTTTCTGTCGTCTGCTTCAAGTTGATGCCCAGTTTTGGCAGATAATTATGTTAATATATTTGAATGATTAAATTAAGCAACCTTAAAGTATCAAGTTTTGTCAGACTGCATGACTGGTCTATCTCTTTACTGGTTGCACAGGCCAGCTGTAAATGGCCTCTGGTGATCAATGGATTAACAAAACCGGTTCTTAAATGTTCGTAAAGTGGATTTTTCTACAATGGGCACATTTTACATACAATGTATTAATAAACATAACAGAAATGTATCATTTGGACACTCTTGTAATATATTTCTTGGGCAAAAAATGTTGGTAAAATTTTAAGTGGTTTTAGTATGGACATTTATATGATGTTAATATTTTGTTTCTAGATATTGTTATAATCTAATAAAGAGATTATATTGTACCGGATTATCTCACACATCCGATAGTAATTCTTTCATTTTTATACTATAAATACTATCAACATTATAATTTGTGGAATTACAGAACATCCATTATAGATCAATTCACTTTAATAATATCTTCATAACAAAAAAAAAAAAATTGTGAATATTTGTGTGTATTTGTATAATTGATTTTCTTTGATACAAATTTCAATTTTTTTCAAAATTCAGATTTAGTATTTTTTTTCTTGTTTAGTATTAATAAGTAAGACAGTAAGTAAGAAAGCATTAGACAGAAATGAATATGTAGCTGCCATACTAAGTACTAAGGATCTGTCTAAGACTTTTGACTGTCTTCCGCATTACCTCAATATTCTTAAAGCTGCATGCCTCCAGAAGACCCAAAATATTTCAAGAAAATTAAACTTGGAAAAAACATACTAAAACTTTGAGAAAAGTGAACAAATTAAAGATTCAAGTGATAATTTATATCTTATGTGCAATTAATGACTGTACTTTGTAGTATTTATCACTATATTTCTACTGCATTACTAACGCAGTAGGGGCTTTTTATGCATATTTTGACCTCTTTGGTAATTTACGTGGATTTTAAGTGCCGATTGTAATTTGTCTAGTACTTTCTTTGTTCATTTCACAATATTTTACCTCTAAATACATTTTCAAAATTTTCATGAAAATTAGTATGAATAAACTTAAGGCCTATGGTCTTTCTGATGCCTCTGCTAATCTAATGTGAAGTTCTTTGTTTAAAAGAAGTAAAACAAGGTACAATTTGAAGTAAGTGGAATTTAATAAACAAAGGGGTTCCACGAGGGTCAATTCTTAGTCCCCTCTTATTTAACATTTTCTTATATGATATATTTTATTTAATTAAAAAAGGATTCTGCAGATGACAATATCCTCTCATTTAATCATATTAATGTGGAAACTCTTAAAAGCACAATGCAAGATGAAAGTGTTGTCATAATTAAATGGTTTGAAGACAATCTTATGCAAGCAAACCCTGAGAAATTAATTAGTTTATTCTCATAGTACATGTATAATCATGTATTTTAACCTTTATCCCCTCTGTTTAACCCATACTGAATAAAGGCTATAGATTTGTCTTGATCTGAAATTGGAATTTTCCATTATTTCTTTAAGGGATTTCAGAATTGAACATTTAGTAGATGGCAATAAATAATAAAGAATCCAGAGTGTAGGATATGAAGGCTAACCTGAAAATATTAATGGCTTGGTCTGTTTTATTGTCCCTAGAATACAAAAAAAAAACCTAAAAGTTTAATGGGGAATAAAGTAAGTTATTGGGGAAAGGCCAAAATGATTACACTTGATTGTGATATTTTTGGACATAATTTAGATTTTTTTCCAACACTAGCACATATAACAAGATAAGATGTTTTGATTTTGTAACTCTAATTATTGAATCAAATTTATGATTTTAGCTTTTTTCATTCATGCATTGTTACTGATTAATAAAACTTCATGAAAAAACATTGTCTTTGTATTTTATACCGTTCTGTTCTGTTCTATACTGGGATACCTAGGTCATTGTGCTCATATGACTCCTGTATAAATGTTTACATGTAGTTTAAGATTTTATTACACTTAAAATGTTTACCTATTATTTAAACTAGGTGTACATTTGGCCAATATCAAAGACTTATATTACAGATATACATGTATATATTTAAATATAGCTCTGTGCCAATATTAAACAAATACTTTAAGGAACAAATTGGCTATGGTGATTTTTTTCTTTAAGTTACATAATAACCCGAGACACAATATAACATTAATTTATCCAGCATGTTCGTAATTAC